CACGCCGCCGCCGCCCTCCTGCAGCAGCCGCGCGCGCGCCGCCTCGTCGGGCAGCACGTAGCGTGCCGACACCGCGCCGCCGCGGGCCCGCCGCAGCACCACCGAGTTGAGGTTGACGTTGAGCGAGCCGCGCACGCTCGAGGCGGCGAAGGCCAGGTAGGGCCGGCAGTCGAGCACCACGCAGCGCGCCGCCGCCTCCTTGCGGAGCATCTTGCGCAGCTGGCGCCCGTCGAGCGACGTGACCTTCATGCCGCCGCCCCGCGGTCCCGCGCCGCGCGCCCCGTAGGTGCCCACGGCCAGGGTGCCCGCTGGCGAGGCACGGGAGGGCGACCCGCGAGGCTGCGGCCGGCCGACCGACCGACCGACCGAGCGAGCCCGGCGCCGGTGCGGCCGCTCAACTCTTCTTTCCCGCCCCGGACGCTCGGCAGCCGGCCCGGCCACTCGCCGCCCCAGAAGCCGGGGATTCCGCCAGCAGCGCCGCGTTTTATGTGAATGACTGTGCGGCCTGTGACGTGGCTGCCCATATAAGGCCGAATATGGGTATTTCCCCGCCCCTTCGGGCTGTGGCCACGCCCCGGGGAGCCGGAGGCGTGGGGCGGGCGCCGGGCGTTAGTCAGCCGGAGAAAGAGGAAGTGGAAGGCGCCTCCCTCCGCTTTCTGAGGCTTTGCGCGGAGAGACACTCACTCGCGCATCACCGAGGGCTGCCGGTGGGGTGTCAGGAACTCCACGAGGCCGAGGTGACCCACGCTGTGCGGGAAGAGGAGGAAGCGGAGGAGGCAGGGCCTGGCGCCGCACAATCCGGCTTTGAGTTTAATAGACGTAGGTTCCGAACCTGCTGGGTGGGGGCCTGCCAGGCACCGAGCCAAGGCCGGGCCGAGGGGAGCCCAGGGCCAGTGCCCCCAGATGAATCGGAAATGGATTTTGGTCTTCACCCAAGTCTTGACGCGTGAAATGAGATGATAGCTGGGATTGGCTTCAAGGGATGGATTATGGATGACTCAAGATTGGGTTTGTGTTGGTAACCGTTGAAGTTCAGTTATGGGTACCTTATGCTGGGTTCATGATACTGTTTTCTCCACTTTTCTGTTTGCTTCAAATGATCCATAATAAAAGTACCTAAAAGTAAAAATGGAGAGAAGAGCCAGCAAAGGATTAACAGCCTTTTCTCCGTCACACTTCAATAATAATTAGAATAATTGTTTTTTGAGGAGCTCTTTTCTGGCCCCTGGAAAGTCTGTCACGGAATCAGCTGCAGCATCAACATGCATCCGTTGATGGAGCTCAGTCCAGGCAACTATCCAGGTGGCTTCTGGATTTGGGGGATTATCTGTGGATCAAGTCTAATCCCAGGCAGTCTGCCCCCACCAGTCCCCAGCAACGTCAGGCTTCCCATCCCCAATCTTAGTGAACTGGACACGTTCCCTCATTCAGCAAGTATTTATTGAGGGTCAGCTTTGTGCCAGGGACCCTGCTAGCTGCAGGGACAGGTGTGAGGGAAACATGCTTCTACCCTGTAACCCGTGACCGGAGTGGGGAGGGGGCTGCTCGGTGGAAAACAGCCTGCCTCCGCTAGAAAGGTGCTTGTTTACTACAGACAGAGGAGAATGAGGTTTTTAGAAGGAAGCAGAAATCAAATTCTGAAATCACAGGCAATCAAACCGGACGCTAGATAGTTGCTATTGGGTCACAGCGGCATTCAATCAGAGGCGCTGTCCTGGCCCAGACAGTAGAGACGTAAGGAAGATGGGATGTGAGGGTTTTCTTTCTCTGTGGGGTTATTCCTGCCAGCCTTCCCTGCAGTTGTCTCCCAGTGTCACCAGCAACATCCACCACCAGACATTTCAGCCAGAGCCACGCAAGCCTGGAGCACCCACAGGGCCAGGCTCTGTGTTGGAGGCTGGACACCAAAGTGAGCAGGACCCACTCTCTGCTCGGGTTTCCCCAGCCCAGAGAGGAGGCTTGGCGCAGCCACAGGCCTCTGTAAGGTCCTGCAATCAGTATGGAAAAGCATCCAGGCTGTAGGGAGTGGGGACCTGGAGAAGGCCTCCCAGAGCAGGGGAGAGCTGAGGGGAACTTCGAAGAATGAATTGAGGTTAGCCAGGCCTCAAGGGGGAGGGTGGAAGGCATTCCAGGCAGAGGAAACTGCTAGAGGTAAAGAAAAACAAAACAAAACAAAATGCCTGCTTGGTGTGTGGGAGACCAAGGCACTTCTGGCATTTATTAGAAAATTAAGCAGGGTCAGATGACGGAGGGCCTTGTGTGCCATTTACGGCATTTGGATCTTACCCTTTGGCTGGAGCAGCCCTGGATGAGGGGTCTTACTCAGTGACCTGGTCAGGTGACATTTGGGAACCTCTCTGAGGCAGCACTGTGGAGGATGTTTTATTTGAGAGTGGGGGTAGAGGTCCAGACTGGAGTCAGGGAGACAGATAGGAGGCTTTTGTGGGTAATCCAGGCCTGAGCTGATAAGGGCCTGCCGGAACTTGGCAGTTATAGCAGCGATTGAAGAGGCCACGCAGATGGGAGAAACGTTTAAGTAAATTGCCGGAAGGGATGGGATGGGGAGACACTAAAGGGGACGCCAAGGTTTTCAACTGGGGTAATTGGGGTAATTGGGTGAATGGTGACACCTTTAGATAGGGAACCTACAGGAACAGATCTGGGTGAGTTGCAGCAGGAGGGGGGGGGTGACATTCAGATGTGTTAATAAGTTAGAGGTGATCATGGACCACTCAAGAGGATACCCAGTAAGGGGTGGGGGTGGCCTGGCAGCCAGTGTAGAAAAGTCATCTGTCAGCCTCTGTTTCCATGTCCAACAGATCACCAGGTCCCAGGACTCTGCCCTTTCCAGTCCCGGGGCAGGGCTGGCTGGCTTCATGGGTGTCTGACCTGTATTGCTACACGGGGCCCCATGCTTGGTTTAATGCTCTGCTGTCACTCTCCTGAAATTCTTAATAATTTTTGGACGAGGAACCCTGCATTTTCTTTTTGCACCAGCTCCCATAAATTATGTAGCTGGTTCCGCCCATGGCTATAGTTAAAAGGCCCCATCATCTCCCATACTGGGCTGTATAGTAGTGTCCTGTTTCCCAACCTCCAAGCCTTCTCCTTGCTCTCTCATCCTCTGCAATGTGATCTTTTTAAGCATGGATCTGAGCATAGAGCCCACCTGCTCTGCTCGGAAACCCTCAATGACACCTACGCACTGTCTGATAAAGTCCAGATTCCTTAGTAGAACACCAAGGTCCTCCTCGTTCTGGCCAGTTGGCCAGAACCCACCTCTAACCTTGTTTCTCTCCTTCCTTTCTGCCCCTCCCCCAGGCTCCAGTTGTCGCCTGTTTCCTAAACTTGCCCAGCATTTTACTGACGGCTGCTTTTCGACAGGACCACAACTCATTCCTTTGTATAGGGATCCTTCACCTTCACACACAGCTCCAGAGCTACCATTGCACCTCCAAGAAGCTACCCCCTTTATCCCCAGCCTGTTAATCGGTTGCCCTCCTAGGGTCTCACCTTTGTGCAGTTTCTCCCTCCCCCAACCTGACACGTGAGTGTCATCTGTCCTGCCATTAACCTCCCAGGCCACACTGAGGATTTATCTCACCAACTGTGCCTGCGTCATAACATCCAGCACGTGGTGGGAGCCCGATCCATGTGGTAGGATGGAATTCAGTGCTTGCTGAGACTTGCAGCTGCCTTTTTAGGAAGCACCTGGGAAGAAAGTTGGCCACAGTATATAAATCACAGCGTTAGACCCTGGGTAAAGAGGCAAGATAGGAAGCTGTGGACACATGGTTTCCTAGGGTCAGGAACTGGGCTTCATCGGCCACAGGCCTAGCAGGAAGAGGAGGGTGTCTGAGATTGGAATTATGTAAATACTCATGCCTGTCCACCCTACTGCTTTGAATGGGGGTGAGGATGGGTTCAGGGAAAAAAAGCAGAATTTAAATTAATATTGTGAGTACATGAGGCAGGGCCTCTTCTCCCTGCCAGTTATACTCAAAGGGAGACAAGAAGTTGTTTTTTGTTTTTTGTTTTTAAGATTTTATTTATTTATTTGACAGAGAGAGAGATAGCGGAGAGCAGGAACACAAGCAGGGGGAGTGGGGAGGGAGAAGCAGGCCTCCCGCGGAGCAGAGAGCCCAATGTGGGGCTCGATCCCAGGACCCTGGGATTAGGACCTGAACCGAAGGCAGACACTTAACGACTGAGCCACCCAGGCGCCCCGACAAGAAGATTTTTTAGGTTTCTCGGTGCTCGTTTGAGCAGTCATCCTAACCCTGACGCCCTGGTTCATCGTTGTGATCTGGGATTCTTACCCTTTGGAGGGTCGGGGTCACCCTTTTAAAAATGTTGTGGGCCTACAGCGTTCAGCTTCCAGTGTCAGGGAGTTACACAGACCTGGGAACTCCTGTGTCCGTCTCGGCTCATCTCAGCCTCAGTAGGAGCTTCTGGGATTTCTCCCCAGGCCTGCTTCCCAGCCCCCTGCCCATAAGGTGGGCCCAGGTGGCCAGTGACGATGGATCAGAAAGGACCCAAAAATGCCAGGAGGGGCCCAGGGCCTGCCCAAGGATCCTCTCAGAAGGATGAATTTTGCCCCCCTCTTCATTTATTTGTTTCTGATTATGCAGGTAGCACATGCTCATTGTGGAAAATGGAGGGAAGTAAAAATGCTGCCGCCTTCTTCTCCTCCTCCTCCTCCTCCTTCTTCTCTGCTCTCTCAGGCTTATGATCCCAAATCAAGGCTGCCAGCCAGGTCTGGACCCTAGACTTGCTTCCCACCATCTTGCATAAAGGAAAGAGCACTGGACTAGGAGTCAAAGATCTGGATTCCCATCCAATCTCTGCTGTGGCCAGCTTTTATTCTTTTTTTTTTTTTTTTTTAAGATTTTATTTATTTATTTGACAGAGAGAGACACAGTGAGAGAGGGAACACAAGCAGGGGGAGCAGGAGAGGGAGAAGCAGGTTCCCCGCTGAGCAGGGAGCCCGATGCGGGGCTCGATCCCAGGACCCTGGGATCATGACCCGAGCCGAAGGCAGATGCCCAACGACTGAGCCACCCAGGCGCCCCTCTTCTTGAGTTAATATTTGTAAATGACTTTTGTGTGCGTGGGTATTTTTCTCCCCCATGGACCTCTCTCTTCCTTGCCCCCAGGTTTCTTGGAATGGGGTCAATACAGTGTTTCCTCATGAGTCCACGGCACTTGCTGTGTGACTGGTGAGAATCACTCATCTTCTTAGAGCCATGGTTTCCTCTTTTATAAAATAGGGACATTAATGTTTGTTTGCTGATGGTGACTGATGATGACAGAATGTACATAAAGCTGTATTGCATGATGCAAGCCAGATATTTGTATGGCCACTGTTGCTAATACTATCCATCAGCAAAGCATTTACTCATTTACTCGGTTAAATCCTGGTGCCCTGGTACATTCAGTTTCCTCTTCTGTAGCTCATAGGTTAATATATGTAAAGTACTTAGAACACTGCCTGGTGCCTATTAAGAACTCAATGAATGTTAGCTAGTTGAACAGACTGTAGTATTTGTTCCAGCCAAGAAAAGACTTTTCTAATAGCACAGGAAAAAAAAAAGATGGGGGTAGGCATGGCAGGGAAGAGGAGCTGCCTAACGCAGCTGGCAATCAAAGAATTATTAGAAGCCTATGAACTTGTTCTTCGGAAAATCTACTGAGTATAGGGAGATAGTTAAGAGTAAAAATCACCAGACCCACTTATAGTAAGGCAGGAGAGACAAGACGCCGTTCACACAATAATTGCGAAATTGGGTGGTTTTGAAAATGTTGAGAAATGAAGACATTTTACAAAAAGAGATGGCTAAAGCCTGGAGTATTAGAGCAGGTGAGCCTGGAAGAGGAGTGGGGACTTGATAAATAACCCTGCCAATTCTAAGAGCAAGGACTTGGGGGTGTGACATCCTGAAGTTCAAGTCCCTGGTCTGCCTCTTACTCATTGTGTGACCTAGGCAAGTTACTTCACCTCTCTAAGCCACAATTCTCTCATTTGGAGAAAAAAAAAGGGGGGGGAGGTTAATAATAGTCCCTACCTCATAGGGCTGATGAGAAGATTAAATAAAGTGCCTACAAAAAGCCCTCCTCTGTGTGCCTGGAGCATGGTGAGGGCTCCATGCGAGCCATCATTTTTCTTTATGAAAAGTGATCAGAGGCACCGAAGCACAGAATCTTGGCAGTAAGGAATTTTAATTCTACCTTGAAATGTTCCAGAAAGGAAGCTTACTGCCTCAG